AATTCTCCATTCATCATTCTTCTTAACTGGGAGAAATATCTTCAGAAAGATCTTTCTTCCGAAAACTAACATTTTCTCTCAATGTCATTCTTCAGAGCCTATGCTTCACACCCGTATGTCAAAACCGGTCGTGTAAGGACTTTGTACAGGATATGTTTAGTTAATCGTAGTTGTGAACGGCTTTTCGAGTACTTTAGGAGACCATAATCACATTTCCTGGAGTCAACAAGTCTTTGCTTCACCTCCTTTCACTTTCATATCATTAGCCGCTGTCACTACCGATTCTATATACATTTTTCAAATTTGTATCTACCAACTTGGATGTTTAGATCAGTATGACGGCTTCAGTTGTCATATACTCGGTCTTTTTTTCTTTGACCTCAGGTCCTATCTTAACTGCTGCTGCCTCATGCTAGCTGTAAGTGTCCGTCATAGCTCTCAAGGATCTCCTAATTATACATATATCATCTGCGTAGGATAGTGTTTGAATAAATATCGTAGGGCACTAAATTTGTCTACAACTTTGTATACACAACTATCTTAATCTTATAATTAGTTATAAATGCTGAGATATAAATTCCTGAAAATGCGTACAAAAAATCAGCAAAATGCACGTATAGGTTCGATTTTTCTTAAATAACAAAGTAAGTACAGTTTTGAGAGAAGTTAACAATGTAGTGGATCACCATGTTTTAATTATTTTTCTAATGCACAAAAAACAGAACAGTTGTTTTCTTTTTTTTTACATTTTCATTATTTATTAATTATTGACAATACTTCCTGCAAGTTCCTGGGGTTCTGTTATTATCTAATCTCCATTCTCTTCTATCCCGAGTGAGCATTCGCCAACATTGGATTCCCATACTTCTAAGGTTGTCCTCCACATAGTCCGGCCACCTCAGGCAAGGTTTTCTTCAATCACTTAAAACCTCAAGCAGCTGTTTGGGAATCAAATCTCTGAGCATAAGCGCGATAAATGGTCCAATTATTTGATTTTTCACCTTTCTTAATTGATACCAAGTCCAGTATGGCTTATCCTCCTCTTTTCGAATTCTCCATTCTCATATTAATCACAAACCGGACCATTGCTACTACGGTAACCCTTCTACCCAAAGCGAGGTAGCTTACATTCTGGAGTCTTAGATATCATCTATTTTTGAAAACCATAGCTTATAGAGTTTCATGTATCTTTATATTAGAGTGGAATCTATAATTACGTACTTTTTCTATGACAAATCAGCATAAATTCCCGGCGGTTATTTTTTTCTTATTCTTGCTTTCAGTTGTTGAACCTATCTAACTATAGCTATCTGATCTATAATTTTTAATGATAAAATTGATACACGTCAACAACATTTGTCATTAATGTAATTGTGTCATTATTTTAGGATTAGTAACTGAGGAAGTACGCATGAATGGTCACATGTAAAATTCGAGTTTTCAACCTTGGGTGGTTTATTCACGTATTGCCAAACAGCAGAAGATATGACCGGCCTAGCAGTATAAAAACCGGTGCGCGCAACACACAACTTTCACTTACCGCTCTACTTTGAATAGAAATTATTTTCTGGCAATGCTGGGCTATTATACATTTTTTTGAAGTGCATTTTAAACGGATTTAAAGCTTAAAGCTTACAGATAACAAGTCATTGAGACTATTATGATTACAAAATGTCTACGGTATATCGATGTCTATCTTTAATATATGTCGATCTTTAATATATCGACGGTAGACAATAAAAATCTAGTCACTCCATCTGTTTTTATAAACCACCCAACTTTCTTTGTCACAGAATGACTAACTCTAATTTCAACATTTTTTGAGTAATGTCAATTTAGTGATATTTTTAGTTGAAAAAGTTATATATGCAGACAGTGAGTAAGTTGATTCCAGAGGTGGTGATTGCAGTGTTGAAATATAGAACTGAGAATAAAGGTATTAATTTAGGTACTTATTTCTTATGAAAGATGTTCTAAGGTAAGATACTTTATTAAATATCTGTAGAAAAAAAAATTTAGTCTCAACAATTAAAAAAATATATTTTAAATTTATACAAATTTTCGCCTCTTCAGTGGAAAAAACTAGAGACCATATCTTTCCTCCTAATTGTCCGATTTAAGGCATTTTTTTAGGAAATTCCATAAACTTTTAAAAACCCATACAATATCCACAAAAAAGTGTATACTTTTTGAGTTATTCGGAATTTAATTTTACCACCCCTCATAACTTTTTTTTCCAGGTTCTTTTCACTAAAGTATGTTATATAGATAAATTTAAAGGGTGTCGAGAAAATGATTTTAGCGAAGTTTCATTGAAATTGGTACATTCGTTTAGGCGCTACAATCTATAGCAACGCAGGTTTTTATGCATTTGTTTTTCTCTTTATTAACTTATAAAATTGTTTCAAAAGTTATATGTAGCATTTTTTCGTAACTCTAAATAATGCGAAATGATTAACTTTTTAAAATAAACCATATTAAAGTTACTTTAGAGGAAGACATATATGAACATTGGGCATTTAAGCCCTGTAAAGTGACATGAACGGGGATAAGATCTAAATAATATTGAAGACCACTTAATTATACAATGATACACCGAGTTTAATCAAAATCGTTAGAGCCTTTTTTGAGAAAATTGTAAAAATGTGTTTCAGCGTTAAATAAAGTGGCACTTAAAGCCGATTTTAACGAAAAGTTACTGTCACATCCGGCCCATATACAAACCTTAAATACTTAATATCAGTTTCGTACTACTTTTCGTTTATGAGCTAGGCTGTTAACACCCACACACACACACAGACCATTTTGCGACACTTGGCTATTTGGACTCAGGGGACTTCAAAACATGTATTTCCGTTGAAAACGGAGATTCGAAAATTTTCACGATCGCGATACTTACCCTTACTATATATTACATATATACGTAAGTGAAAGTAAAAAAAAAAAAAAATTGAAAACCGTTGCTCTGATATGTAACTCGTGATCCTTTCTTCCCGAAAGTAAAAGTCAAGTTTAGATTCACTTCAAGACATTGGGCTTCTGTATCTCTTCAAACTTTTGTCTAGCGAAATTGGCCGTATTCCTCATTGCCCACCATTTTGAAGAAAACCAATCTGCATTCAATTTAATGTAAACTCGTGTAAGAATCACTCAGCAGTCTTCGTTAATGATGACGAGGAATCGGATACCGAGTTGCCACAGATTCGGTTAATGGGACAAACGAAGACTTCATTGAAGCTATTCAGAGACTGATAAAGAGCCTGAAACTTTCATTAAGGGGTCAGAATGACTCTAAATCTATCACAGTCTTTTAAAAAGTTTAAAGAGTTTTTAATAAACTTTAAAACAAATATGTATTATTAAATTTCGATTTTAATTTTATATTCACGATTTTATCATTTTCAATAAATGTTAATTTGATGAAAATTCAATTATTTCAATTTATTATCATTCCTATATACTTCATAGCTATTAAATTTAATTTTATGTTGAAATTATGACAAAACTTGTTGACATGGATTTTGCAATAATATTAATAATTACAAATCAAATATGTTTTTAAAAAACCTATAAATGACAAGTTTAAAACACTAAACTTTTACATTACATTCATGTTTAATTAATTAGTAAGAACAATATAATTATTAAAACTGAGCCCGTGGCCCTCTATCAGTCTCCACTGGCTTCCGATTCCGGTGAAGAGAAGAGCTGCGATCTCCTGGAGTCTTGCTTTGCCTATCACATGTGGAGGATGAAGTTCCGAGTCTCATGGGCAAGTGTAAACATTTTATATATTGAATGAATTTTTTTATTGAGTATTTATTGAGTTTTATTGAGTACAATAACATAAAACAAAAGTATCCATGCTCAATAAAAATATTTACGGCTTGGTTCTCAAAAATGTCAGCAGGAGGCTGGCCTTGGTAAAATAAGTATTATTGATACAATAATATAAACTAAAACCTAATATGTTAATGTTAATGCTGCGGCTGGAAAAGTGGCACTGGGATCTTCCGGAGTCTTGCTTTGCCTTCCTCGTGTGGGGAGAAAAGCCTGGCTCGGAGATTCTTGGGCGAATGTATGTATTGTATATAGTTCTGATTGTGTTTAGAAGTTTTTATTTTATTTTATTTGTTTATTTTTATTTTTTATTTTTATTTACCTTCTTCATCAGTATTATTTATTTACTTCTTATATTTATGTTTATTTCTTTATTATTTGTATATATTGTATGAATGAGAACTTTTAGCCCTAATGCTTATAGCCCTCCAGCAGTGGCTGATTGTATTATTATTCAATAAAAATAAATAAAAAAATGTTAATGCTAACAAATGAAGAAATACAATGTATCAAATCTTAATATCACAAATATATAAATACATACACATTTTTAATATAGATATTTTAATACAATTGCATAAATAATTTTTCCGGCTTAAACATTATTCATCTAATAATTAAATTCGTGGCATAAGGCATATCTGTATTGCCAGGCTACTTTACAATAATTGGATAGACTTACCCAATTTTTTCCGTTTAAATGTGCAATTATTTCCCCAATCATTTCTAAAATATTTTCTCTTAAGTTCACCTAGAACAGGACATGCACCAAGGAAATGCACGATATTTTCTATTTCGTTCCTATTTCATAATGAACGTAATTTATTATTTGTTTCATAATACAACCTACAGTTTAATTGTATTAATTCTGCTCTGGCATTAAATATCCATTTTATTATCGTTTCATTATATTTCTTATCGTAATAATTATTCCCTGATACATCATGATTTAAGTTTTTGTATAACTTAGTACTATTTGAATTTTTTGCTAGGGTTTTGAACCGATTTTCTAATTCTATTGCCAGTTTTTCTCTTATTTTCTGAAAATTCGCATTCCATTTATTTATATTATTAAAATAAAAATATATTTGGTATTGATTTGTTAAACGTTTTACATATTTAAACCAGCCTAATTCCTTTTTAATTATTTTTTTTTGCTATTATTTTGGGTAACCTATTATCCAATTACTCTGCATACCTATATATATATATATATATATAATTATAGTGCGCTTTTACATTTTCTAGATACAACGGTGTTAATTTCTATATGAATAATATATGCAGATGTATATATGGGTAAATTTATATCTTTTAATAAAATAGTACTGAACTTTTTCCACTTCTTTATATCCACAACCTCCCCAAACCTGTGCACCATAATCTATAATTGATTTAACTGCAGCTTTGAAAACTTTAAGTTTTGCATTCAAATTTATTTTATTATAAGAAGTAGCTTCTTCCATATAACATTAATACTGATCATTGTTTTAGAAATCTTTTGTATATTAATAAATGAATTTTAAATATATTTTTTTTAATTCAACTTTAATTTATTTTTTGTTGTTTAATGATTTTGTTATTATTACTTATTTAAATATATCATTTTATTTGCGAAGTTCACCATTGTACTTTCTTCATTATTACTACTGCTTATTATTATTATTTTTATTATTATATTTTTTATTCTCGCTTTTGCGGATTTGAAGCTGAAGGTGGGGGACAAGTCCAACCACCTGCAGTTATAGTTTTTTTTAGATATTTAAAAACTTACTCGTAATTCTGCCTGTATCCAAGAGAACCGTTTAATGAGCCTTTTTTAACACATCCAGGGGTAATTCCAAGCCGTCCGTACCTGCCACCGTTGACTTTGGGATCAGACCATTGGTTGATATTATTATTGGTGTAACCAAAATGCTTTCCAAATGGTACAACTCCTTTAATTCGATCACCAGTTCTTGGTACTTACGGAGCTTCTCTCCCAAGGTTGTAATTTGCAATTAACTTTGCCTTCTTTGCTCCTAAATCTATAATAAGGAGATCGGGTCTGTTGTGACGCACTGTATGATCCGTTATTATAGATTCGTCCCAATACATCTTGAGGGAACATTTCTGAAGTAGCCTTATTGGATTATATTTATAATATGGCACCTTTTCATCCAAAAGGTTAAGTTTTACAGCCAGAGTCTGGTGGAATATTTTCGCCACATTGTTGTGCCTCTGCAGATAATCCGTACGAGCGAGTACTCCACATCCAGCTGTGATACGTTGAATTGATTCGTACGTCGTTGAACAAAGTCGACATTTATCAGATGTAATGTCTTTTAGAACGTGCCGCCTACATGACCTGGTGGCAATGACCTGATCTTGAATGCCGACTACAAATCCTTCTGTTTCAGAGAATAGCCTTCCTTATTATTATTAATATTTTATGAATTTGTTAATTCATTTTTACTTAATTAGTTTATTTATGTTTTAAAACTATTAGCACTAATACTTATTGCCCTTTGTTGTAGCAGATTATATTATTATTCAATAAATACAAATAAAAAATAGTACTTTGCTCATACTATTTATAATTTGATAGTATGTTGTTCCACTCACTTCACTCCATGGTTGTTAGGTATTTTTTTCTGAAAATTTCACTAGAAACGAAGAATGTATTTAAAAAAAAAAAAAAACCTGTACCACTACAACCCAGGAAGGGTCTGGGGTTTAGTACTATTTAGGAAAAGCACTGTTTCTAGGTCAACAGTTGTGCAAGGAGATGATTTGACCGAGATCACGCTCAACCGCCAGATTTTTCCCCCATAATCATTTATTTAATTAAGGATACCCACTTTATAGAGACTGGGTGTGCTCCGAGAGGGTCTCTCGACCCAAGGTCGTCCCACGGCCAGTGAAACAGATAAATAAATTTTCTGCCATGAGCGGGGGTTCGAACCGGGGATCTTTGCATTGGAAGCTCAGTGCCCTACCACTGAGCTATCCCACTCCTATTTCACTAGAATTCCACTAGAAACGAAGAAGGTATTTAAGAAAAAAGTAAAAAATTGTCCTGCATTTTTTTTTTCGAAACTCAATCGTTTTAACTTATTTATATAGCGGTATCATCAAGATAAAATGCAAATAACAAATTGTGGGAATTTCGATGCTCTACAAAATTTATTCAATCTAATTTAACCGAAATTTTCATTTAAAAGGAGATAAATAAAGAAAATAGACTTTTTCCGCAATTCTGGCGATTTTTTTTTCTCAAGATGTTGGAGAGCTAACAGGCGCTTCAAGGTCGTAAACTCGGATTTTACTACGGAGTGGTGGGGGCAAGTTCATAGAAGATATAAAAAAAAAAAAAAATTGGATCTTTCATTAAATTTAGTTATTATTCACTAATAGCATTGACCTATAGAAGCAAGTACAGTAAAAATTTTGAGTGCTTATTAAATATTTGGTTTATATTGAGCCATGCGAAGCTTTTCTGCTGGTCTTTAATTAAATTACGCACCGCGTTTAGAGATTCCGTATTCGAATACTTTTTACGAAACACTTCAAGTCCTTGAGGTTTGATGTAGGGATGTCTTAAAGTTGATTCATTATACAATTTAGGTAACCCAGTATGTAGAAAGCAAGTAAATTGTAATAACAATAAATAGGTAACCCCTCAACCATTCATTAATCGATGTATAATATAATAATTTCTTTTATCGTATAAGATTAGAAAATTGTATTCTAATCATTTTCCTTCCCTAGATATGGTGAAATTCCAGTGACTCGGCTGGGAGATAAGCGCTGGGATCTCCAGGAGTCATACTTTATCTTTCACACGTTGAGGAAAAAGACTGGCTCGGAGTCTCGTGGGTGAACGTTTTATATTTTATTTGTATTCAGCTTTAATTTAATTTTTGTGTCTACTTTTTTTGTTATTATTTTACTTATATATATATTTTGAAGTTCATTTATTAATATTTATCATAATTTTTGTTATTTTATGTATATATATATATATATATATATATATATATATATATATATATATATATATATATATATATATATATGTATATATACATTTTTTTATTTATATATATTACATATTTATATAACGATGTATGTATATTTTTCGAAGAGAAAGATTTTCATCAATGTAAAGGGTACCTATTGACCTTAGGGTGATGAGGGCGATATGGGGTATCAAGGAGAGGTTTTTGTCAATGGTGATTCCTATCTTTTTAACAGTGAAGCTCAATGTTGTAATGGGTTGATCGTTGGTGACTAAATGAGGAAGGGAGGAGTTGGATTTAAAGAGGAACCTATAACCATGGCCTGAGTTTTCATCGCTTATAGCTTAAATTATCCAAACTTGTCCATGCACCGATCCTATCTAGGCATGCCTGAGTATTGGCGAACTAATAGTTCAGAAGACTGAAAGGATAAATAGATCTGGGTGTCATCAGTGTATAAATGGTGTCGACAGTGGTAGATGGATTTGGGAAGATCACTTATATAGGAATTAAAAAGGAGAGTGAAAATGCTCGAACCCTGGGCCACTCCAGAGGACAGAGTAAGGAAGAAAGATATTGTTGGTTCGGAATGCTAACTGCTCGAGTCTGGTTGGAAAGGAAAGACTAAACCCGAAGAAAAGAGCCTTTGCAGAAGGACAGAGGTTTTAATTTAGTCCAGGTTAAAAATTACTATTCAGCATAGACTATCCTTACGATAAGTAGACTGAATAACAAAGTGTGATATTGAAGATAACAAAATTGATTTGTCTGTGTCACCGTATAGCCCTACCGACTTGTGGTGGTTTTCAGTTTTCAGTTTCAGGAATAAAATAAACAAACAATGAAGCATAAATATTATAGAGGCATGAAAGTAAGAAAGCTTGTAAACCAAGTCTCAGAATATGGTCTGTGAGTACGCACGACAGGGATAATCTCAAGTTAGGTATATACCAGGGTTATAACCAAGTTAGGTATATACCTGGATTATAACCAAGTTAGGTATATAACTACTTTTTCGCTAAGTCGACCTATCGCTATTTTATATTGTCGACAATATGAAATAAATGTCAAATTTACCATTTTTTACAATTTTTCTTAAAACGACACACATATAAATGTTGTTTCCTATGATAGTGTTTTGGTTTATTATTTTGATTTTTTATCTCTTCTGTAACTAGAGGAATAAAAAAAAAATAGGTTTAGCACTAATGTTTCTACAAGTCTAGTTAGATAATTGTATTTCCCATAGTTTTTGAAATGTCTAAACGCAATTTAATATTCTCAAGGCTTATTACATTTTTAAAAAAAAAATATTTTGTAATGAAAATAGGGTGATATATAAAAGTTAAGTGATGCATCACAGCACATTTTTTTACTTTCCTACCTATAATAAGGAAAGTATTGCGATCGGGTCAAATTTCCGAAAAACTGTTCGACTTATCTATACGTTTCAGAGCCCCCTGAGTCCAAAAACAAATTTTTGGCCATTTATCTGCGTTTCTGTCTGTCTGTTAGTGCCAAGATTTTCTAGCGAACTAATGAACCGATTTTATTGCTTCTTTTTTTTTTGTAGGGTTTTGACTGCTGATGCCTGTGACACAAATTGGGTGCTCTATTTGCAATTGCTGCTGCTCAATAAATTAATAACATGTTTTTCTATTTACTGTGTCGCGAAAACGGCTATAACGATTTTGATGAAACTTTCCTATAATGTTCTAATAATTGTCCATTCAATTTACGTAAGTGGACTAAATTCCCGAGAAAATTCAGGAAAAAAGGTTATAAAGAAAAGAAAAATGTTTTGTGGCCTAACTCGCTAAGTATATATTCTATGATAAAATACATAATAAAACTTTTGAGAGATTATTAAATTACCAACAATGAGAAAAAAAATCATCGGAATCGAACCAGTATTAGCGGTGATACAGCTTATTCTATTTTCTACACATGCTTTAATTTATTACTTTTCTTCCTATGCTATGTAAGGAAAGTTGTGCGACTGGGTCAAATTTCCTATATGCGGTTTTCGACGGATCTATACGTTTTAGAGCCCGCTAAAAAACACCGTTTAGCCTGTTTCGTTCATTTGATACGACTATAAACGAAGTCACAGCTATTAAATTCCCAATGTAAGATTGCGGGTTCATATCCTGGAGTCAGAAAGGGTTGAATGAGAGAAAAAAGATAACTAAGTGAAAGTAAGAAAATCTATTCCCCGCATCACACAAGCTTAATCATTTCCTCTACTTTTAACACAAATTATTGTTTGACAAAATTAGGCTATGGCAAAAAGTTTTTGATCAGGCATATTAGAGGGTATTGAAATTTTTATACTGATCTACCTTAAGCCGGTTTATATTGCTTTAGTTTATCAAATAAATCGTACTTAAATCTCTTCTTTGATCAATTTTTATGAAAGTAAATCTAATTTTTTTTTGTTTGTTTTTTGATGGACATATGAAAAGATATAAAAACTTTTCCAGAGTGGACACACCAGATTTTTTTTGTTAAA